CAGTTGCCGAGTACTGACGACGCCTCACTCGAGGGCACCATCAGGTTGTGCCCCCAGGTTGAGTGAAACCTGCAGCGACTCCTACTATGACTGCTTCACCGTTCCAGAGAAGACCATACCCTGTTACGTCACAGCTCAGCTGCAGCGATGTCTCCTGTGTTGCAGTATCTGTCCAGACGCAGGAAGGCATGCAGTGATGCCCATTGATGCTCACTGCCTTAGACCATGATATTTAGCACACCCTACTTTTTTTTTCTTCCCTCCCTGTAGGAAGTTTTTTTTACCCTGTCCGTGTATGTATATATATATGTGTTTTTATTTTGTGTTCTGTACCCTGTTCCTGCAAGAGAGAGACCGAGCTCTTTTTTTATAGCCAGTCATGGTCAGGGACGACCATGGTGGTGCATGTCCAGCAAATGTAGACAGCCTGTACTGTCTGCAAAGAGAGCCCATGCTGTCTGCCAACTGAGTTCATATATTGTGCCATGCTCGTGCTGCCACCTATAGGCCTGCCACTTCAGTATGCCCAGACCTGCCTCTACCTCACTCGCTCAGTGGCCTTCACTCAGACATGGCAATCACTCAGACCATGGACACTTAACACACTACCTGTGTACCCCACGACATTGCAAAGAAAGTAAGAAGCCTCCGAAGCCTTTATCATTACTCCCCGCTCTGCAAGAATCACCAATAAATCCCATAAACAATAGTGGTACCATCCACTAGTCGAAGTAGGTCTTCATGCAAAGGTTGGACAAGTTTTGAAGAATTCTTTGTATCAAGACCCCATGATGATGCAGTGTCCGATACTGCATCATCGTGGGATCTTGATACAAAGAAGTCTTCAAAACTTGTCCAACCTTCGGACGAAGACCTTCTTCGACTAGTGGATGGTACCACTATGACCCCGCCACCTCCTGTTTTGCCTCGCCTGACTACAGTATTTAAGCCGCTTCTATGGCCCTATGCTGTACATTCTAGAAGACTGATGGACTGAACACTTCGACTCCAGGCTGAGGGACTGATTACCTCAAACTCCTCCTCTCCTTACACTTTTCTGCTTTGCATTGGATTGATGAAGCCAATGTGTGGCGAAACGTTTCCTCAATAAAGATTCCCATATGTTGCATAAGTGTCTCAACCTTCAGCACAATAGCGGCCACAGGTTGAGTGGGTTACTGTAGTTCGTACTCTGCTTGTTGGTAAATGGTTACAAAGAGCAGGTACTCCTGCAGGGAATTATTATTCTCATTTTTCTAAAGATAAGGAATTAGTATAACTTGCATACCTCAAGCTTTCCGAGAAATATAGGCTAAAATTCAGAAAATAAAAATTATAGGATGGATATTCATTAACTGAATTTGGAAAAGAGAAAGTGTTTCTCTTTAACAAGTGACGCTGTTCCAAAGGTGTAAATAGGAACTTTGATAAATTTTTGAAGAACTGTATGATACAATTTGTGCTGACCTCAGGAAAGGATCCTGATATTTTTAATATAGTTTTAGAATTAGATGATAAATTCTTTGCTAATTAAAAGCTTGGAGAAAGTAAAAATCATTCTCATTCGGAATTTTCTCCGACTCGTTATAACCCAAACTGTAAATTTTATGGTCCTATGAAATATATGCCTAACATGAATTTTCAAGGACTTATGAACTTAAATGTGCAATGTCAAGGCAAAAACAATGGTAAGTCTAAAGATGGTCATGGCACGAATAATTTAAACCTCGATACTTGTTACTGCACAAAAAGAGCCACGTCGAAGAAATCTGGAGGTTCAGAGATCTATCGAATATCCGCATCCGCATCTGTGGAACATCCGCAGTTTCTTACATCTGCATCCGCATTTTACTATAAACAGATATCCACATATGCATCCGCATCCGCAAAATAAGTAACACATCCTCATACACTTCTGCATCCGCGGATATCTAAATTTTCACAACCGATACATCTCTAGATCAGAGTGCGGGACGAGGCAGCAGAACTCGCTTAGGTAACTTAATACAGTAATTCGTATTAAGTCTTCAAATCCCACTCGTTCTTTTGTTTGATTTACATAATAAGTAATTAGCAAATGTTAGTCAGTTGTGAGCTTTAACGAAATTTTACATTTATTTTGAGGTTACAAAAAATATTTTTACACCATAAAACTTCTTAATAATTATCAGATGAAAAATGGTATGGTGCTGTCAACAAGATATGGAAAAGACACTTATGATAAGTTCAGGATATTTATAATAGGAATCTTCTCTCCAGGAATGGCTTCTTCACTCCTAGTAATAATTGTACATACATGGTATACAGTACTAACAACATGAAGAATTATATACATGTGCAACACCAGCGTATGTTTAGTTGTAGACCAGTGTTTTATTACATAATTTGCCAGTATACACGTTTAGTGACGAGTTACTCTTTTAGCCTGTTAATTAGTCTCTGTAAATAAACTCAAGTTCTTATTCTTGAGGTCGTGTGTTTCAGGGGGTGGATGAACACCAAATTCTTATTAACTAGTTAATCTAGCGGTTTTAATTACTACGTTTTGGTCCACAGATCGCTAGGATATTAGGGATATACTTTTGTAGTTGCTAAAAACTGATTAAAATGGATATATAAGTCCGACGGTGTCTGCTGTGTGGCCGGGAATGATGCACCTCTCTAACTATAGTCCCAATTGCTACGGTTTTTTAAGTATCTCTGCTTTGATCTGCCCCAACTCGACGTAAGAGATATTAGGAAAGCATCTACCCTTTTCGTAAGCTCCACAAAATGTTCACATTACTGGTAATTAAAAAAGTATCCCGCAAGCTATATCATTCTTTCGGGTTCTAAAATGATGATAATCTGGACGAGTATACTTGCTGTTAGTTAATAAAAATATCATTGCTGCTGCCAGTAAACAAGAATACTTAAATTTAATTCAGAAGTAAATATTTTTGTAACTAGTAATAAAGGTTAAATATCTTGTGCACAGAATAAATTCAAAATTCGAAAGTAATATGTATGAATAATCAAAATTCAAGTAAATGTAAATCATCGAAACTTTTTCTGCAAGATGAGTAAATATAAGTTTTTTAAAGATGAACACACTGTAGAAAAAATATGAATTAGTAGAAATTTTCACATAAATGTAAGTAAATAACTCGTATCTCCTATGAAAACAAATGGAGGTGATGAAATTAATGTGAAAAAAAGATGAATTCTGACATAAATATTAACAAATTTAAATTAATTTTAATTATAAGAATCTTCGAAATGGAGATGGATAAATGAAATATTTGAAAATGAGAACAAATGAAATCGTCGACTCCGTTGTGACAGTAAACAATAACACCAACGTAAAGAAATGGAGAGAAAACATATAAGAATAAAGGAACACTGTAGTCGGTCAACTGATGAAAATACGTAGGTGTAGAGTATACCTGGAGAGGGTTTCGGGGGCCAACGGCCTCGCAGTGGATCAGGGCCTGATCAACCAGGCTGCTACTGCTGGCCGCACGCAGACCGACGTACGAACTACAGTCCGGTTGGTCAGGTACTGATTTTCGGTGCCTGTCCAGCACATTCTTGAAAACAGCCAGGGGTCTATTGGTAATCTCCCCTTATGTATGGTGGGAGGCAGTTGAACAGTGTTGAGCCCCTGACGATTACTGTATTGTCTCTTTGCGTACTCGTGGCGTCCCTGCTTTTCATTGTGGGGATATTGCATCTCTTGCCGAATATTTTGTTGTCGTAGGGAGTGATTTTCGTGTGTAAATTTGAGACTAGACCCCTGTAGGGTTTTCCAAGTGAATATTATCATCTACCTTTCTCGCCTGAGTTCCAGGGAATATAAATCAAGGCACTTCAACCGTTCCCAGTACTTATACATGCCGTGAAAGTTCTCTGTACACTCTGCAGGTTTCCAATTTCGTCTGCCTTGAAAGGGAAGGTTAGTGTACAGGAATATTCCAGCCATGAGAGAACAAGCGATTTGAAGAGAATCATCATGGGCTTTGCGTCCCTACTTTTGCAGTTCTTCATTATCTGTCCTATCATTTTTCCTATCAGATGTGGAAGATACATTGTTGAGATCTTTGAAAGTGAGATGCTATGACATTATCACTCCCAGCCACGCTATTGTGCGGCTGGAATTTGTTTTAATACTCCAATACTCGTTTAATTTCCTCGAATTTTCCATATAGGAGTAATTTACACGACACTGTCATGTAAATTAGGGTGCTATGGCTTACATCTCTGTCTGTGTCATATATGAGGATGAGAAACAAATGGGAGCAAGTACTGTGCCTTGTGGAATAGAGTTTTTCTCTGTAGCCGCCTCAGACTTTACTTTGTTTACTATAACTCTTTGTGTTCTATTTGACAGGAAGATATAGATCCATCTACCAGCTTTTCTTGTTATTCCTTTATGACGCATTTCGTGCACTATTACATGGTCGCACTTGTCAAAGACTTTCGCAAAGTTTGTGTATACTACATTTGCATTTTCTTTGTCCTTCAGCGCATCCAAGACCTTGTTGACATAGTGGTCCAGTAGTTAGGACAGGCAGGAGCGACCTGCTCTAAACCAATGTTGCCCTGGGCTGTATAACTTATGGGCATCTAAGTGAGTGGCGATCTTGCTTCTTAGAACACTTTCAAATATTTTTATGATGTGGGACGCTAGTGCTATCGGTTATTATGTTATTTTGATAATACTTTGCTCTGTGTAAAGTTTTATGAGAACGAAATGATGTCACATTTCTTTATGGCCATCTACAGCATGCAGCATGCAGCATGCAGCATGTAGCAGGCCTACTGATATATACTAAGCCGGTCATATATCTTTTAAACCTCAATAATGCAAAAGCTCTTCATTCCTAAAATCATTCCATAATGCAAATTTATCCTACTTGATTCCTTTGCTGGGAGTCCTTCCTTGGATAGATGTTTTCGAAAATTTATTTACATTCCCTCTACTTACTCGGGATTTTAATTTGTTTACCTTAATCACATACTTTTTCATTCTATACATTCTGAAGCGTACATTATCCAGGCTTTTTTCTCCATTCTGTAATGCAAAGACCAGAATGTGGCCTTTCTAATGATATAACAATAATTGTAGAATTACCTTGGGGTTTAAGAAAACGTATTTTTTTTAAATGCTAAGAAGTTCATTAGCCTTATTACAAACACTTAAGTGCTGTCATCTTAGATTTGTACTAACGAGAACTCTTAAGTCTTTTACGAATTCAGTTTGATGAACGTGTGTTTTATTTAGCTCACAGGTGCCATGGTTATTTTATATTCCAATGATTAAAATATTTTGCTCACTTTTCCAGTCAAAACATCAACCAAGACAAATCATTCTGTATCTTCCCGATATCCTCAGAAATTAACCAAACCACAGAAAGGGTGGGGTTTGAATCCATGGTGAGTGAGTTTTAGTACTTGTCATGTCCCCCCCCCAATGGAAAGCAGGGGCGCCACGAGTACACTAAGAGACAACACAGTAAGTGTCAGGGGCAAAAGACTGTGCAACTGCCTCCCAGCATACATGATGGGATTACCAATAGATCTCTGACTATTTTTTAGTGTGTCATTGAACAGCATGAGTGAGATTAGGTTGACTAATCGCTAATTACAATCTAAGGATTTATGTGCAAATTTGGAAATAAATATGACCGCGGCCATTTTCCACATATCTAGCATGATATTCATTTGCAGTGCTTAATGGTTTACCACGTTTCTCATTACATTCATTATGAACACCTGAAACAATTCGAACGGCCAGCGACTTTTGTCTGCTTCTCATAGAGCCGTGGGACTAGTGACTGTGGTCTTATGTATTATTCTGGAAATTCATATACACATTACTTCTTCATTATATACAAGAAATGCTATATGAAGAATAGATATTCCTTTTGTATTATCAGTAAGCAGACGTGAGTAATGTTGATGACATCTCATATATTTAATAAACTTATTCCAATATATACATGAAAGACGACCTTTAGCTTGGTCGCTCGTTCCCTCTCAACTTAATTTCATTCGCTCTTTTGCTCTCCTCATTTCAGTATTGACTTCTGTTGAGATCAATATATTGTTTAATTAAATGACGTTAACACTATCATAAATAAACGAGGAATTTAGCACCACTGTGAGTATGTGAAGTATTTAGCTAATTGCTAATGAATCGGTCACCTGTTTTCTGTAATAGTCCCTGAGGGCGTTTTCATAGCCTTCCTCCAGGCGTGAGAACGCTGCGTTTACTTCCACTGTCCAGTATATCTGAGTCCCAGTCAGCGCCACCTGTCAGAGGAAATTGATTATATATATAAATATATGTTTCATGATTAGAGTAGTAATGAATATATGAACAAACATTAGTAGTCTTCCTATATACTGTAAATTTGAACTTTCTATCAAACCGGTGGATCAGAACATCTAAAAATGGAAGGTTAAAATCTACTTCTTTCTCCACAGTGAATTTAATAAATGGAACAAGAACGTTAAGTCTCGGTAATAATGTGTTCACGTCCATATTAATGGACGAAACACGTAAGATGTCATCAACATATCTGAACGACTTAGCTTCACAGGACAGGATATCTTTCACCATCTTGGTCTAAAAAACTCCATAAACATTGCTTAATAGAGGAGACCATAGAAATATTTCCTTTAGCCATTCTCTACCGTTGAGCGTAATAATTTCCTTCAAACTCCTACTTACAACCACCTACACACAACTTAACCAACTCAGTAATAGTGTTCTTGTCAATCGGCGGGGAGAACTTATCTAATTCTTCATCCAAATAGAATAAGAGATCCGGAATAGGAACTCGGGTAAACATCACATATACTTCAAAATTTACTAGTGTAAAATCATTGTACAAATTCAAATTCTGTAATTTGCCAATGAGATCAACGTTGTTTTTTACGTGGGCGTTGGAGTTAATACTTTTACGAACCATTTGGACAGGTCATATGTCGCCTAACTAATAATAGATCTCGATGGAAAACCCGACTTAGGAGTTTTAATCAAACCGTTCATATAAGGGAGTGTCGCCGACCTAGCTGACAATTGTGTGTACTCACCTAATTGTACTCACCTAATTGTGGTTGCAGGGGTCGAGATCTCAGCTCCTGGCCCCGCCTCTTCACTGATCGCTACTAGGTCCTCCCTCTCTCTGCTTCCTGAGCTGTATCATACCTCTCCTTAAAACTATGTATGGTTCCTGCCTCCACTACTTCACTTGCTAGGCTATTCCACTTCCTGACAACTCTATGACTGAAGAAATACTTCCTAACGTCCCTGTGACTCGTCTGAGTCTTCAGCTTCCAGTTGTGACCCCTTGTCCCTGTGTCCCCTCTCTGGAACATCCTATCTCTGTCCACCTTGTCTATTCCCCGCTGTATCTTGTATGTCGTTATCATGTCTCCCCTGACCCTTCTGTCCTCCAGTGTCGTCAGTCCGATTTCCCTCAACCTTTCCTCGTACGACATTTCCCTGAGCTCTGGGACTAGCCTTGTTGCAAACCTTTGTACTTTCTCTAACTTCTTGACATGCTTGACCAGGTGTGGGTTCCAGACTGGTGCTGCATACTCCAGTATGGGCCTAACATACACAGTGTACAGTGTCTTGAACGATTCCTTATTAAGGTATCGGAACGCTATTCTCAGGTTTGCCAGGCGCCCGTATGCTGCAGCAGTTATTTGGTTGATGTGTCCCTCCGGTGATGTGCTCGGTGTTATGGTCACCCCAAGGTCTTTCTCCCTGAGTGAGGTCTGTAGTCTTTGTCCACCTAGCCTATACTCTGTCTGCGGTCTTCTTTGCCCTTCCCCAATCTTCATGACTTTGCATTTGGCTGGATTGAATTCGAGAAGCCAGTTACTGGACCACATGTCCAGCCTGTCCAGGTCTCTTTGCAGTCCTGCCTCATCCTCATCCGATTTAATTCTTCTCATCAACTTCACATCATCTGCGAACAGGGACACTTCAGAGTCTATTCCTTCCATCATGTCGTTCACATATATCAAAAATAGCACTGGTCCTAGAACTGACCTCTGTGGGACCCTGCTCGTCACAGGCGCCCACTGTGATACCTCTTCACGTACCATGACTCGTTGCTGCCTCCCTGTTAGGTATTCCCTGATCCATTGCAGTGCCCTCCCTGTTACATGCGCCTGATCCTCCAGCTTCTGCACTAATCTCTTGTGGGGAACTGTGTCAAAGGCCTTCCTGCAGTCTAGGAAAACGCAATCTACCCACCCCTCTCTCTCGTGTCTTACTTCTGTTACCTTGTCATAAAACTCCAGGAGGTTTGTGATACAAGATTTGCCTTCCATGAACCCATGCTGGTTTTCATTTATAATCTTGTTCCTTTCCAGGTGTTCGACCACTCTCCTCCTGATAATCTTCTCCATGACTTTGCACACAATACATGTCAGAGACACAGGTCTGTAGTTTTAGCGCCTCGTTTCTGTTTCCTTTCTTAATATGGGGAATACATTAGCTGTCTTCCATTTCTCAGGTAGTTGCCCAGTTTCAAGGGATGTGTTGAAGATTGTGGTTAGAGGCACGCACAGCATCTCTGCTCCTTCTCTAAGGACCCATGGGGAGATGTTGTCCGGTCCCATCGCCTTTGAGGTGTCAAGGTCACTTAGCAGCTTCTTCACCTCCTCCTCAGTTGTTCGTATGTCATCCAACACTTGTTGGTATATTCCCTCTTGATGTTCCCTTCTGTGCTGTCTACCCACAGTCCTTCCTGTCTCTACTGTAAAAACTTCCTTAAATCTCCTGTTCAGCTCCTCACATACCTCCTGATCATTTCTTGTGAGTTCTCCACCTTCTGTCCTTAATCTGATCACCTGGTCTTTGACTGTTGTCTTCCTCCCGATGTGGCTATGCAACAGTTTCGGGTCAGTCTTGATTCTCGATGCTATGTCATTTTCAAACTGTCGCTGGGCCTCCCTCCTTACCTGTGCATACTCATTCCTGGCTCTGCGACTGATCTCCCTATTTTCGTGTGTTCTCTGCCTTCTGTACTTTTTCCATTCTCTATTGCACTTTGTGTTTGCCTCCTTACACCGTCGGGTAAACCAGGGGCTCGTTCTGGTCTTCTCGTTGTTACTGTTGCCCTTGGGAATAAACCTCTCCACTGCCTCCTTGCATTTTGTTGTTACATATTCCGTAATTTCATTTACTGGCTTTCCTGCCAGTTCTCTGTCCCACTGGACCTCCCGCAGGAAGTTCTTCAACCCTGTGTAGTCCCCTCTTTTATAGTCAGGCTTTTCCCATTCAACTCCTGTTATTCTCTCCACTTGCAGCTCTATGTATTCAAAGCACAGAACCACGTGGTCGCTAGCTCCTAGGGGACTCTCATACTTGATGTCCTCAATGTCTGAGCTGCCCAGGGTGAACACAAGGTCCAATGTTGTTGTTGTGTGTGTGTGTGTGTGTGTGTGTGTATATACGTACTCACCTATATGTTTTCATCTATATGTGGTTGCAGGGGTCGCTTCATAGCTCCTGGCCTCGCCTCTTCTCTGGTTTATACTATGTCACTCTCTCCCCACTCCTAGAGCTTTATCATACCTCTTCTTAGACCTATGTATGGAACTTGCAAGAATCCACTACTTTGCTCTTCAGATCATTCCACTTCCTGACAACTCGATGGGTAAAGAAGTACTTCCAAACATCCCTATAACTCAACTAGGTTTCAGCTTCCAGTTGTATTCCCTTGTTCCTGTGTTCCATCTCTGAAACATTCGAGCTCTGTCCACCTTGTCAATTCCTCTCAGTATTTTATACATCCCCCCCTACCCCTCCTATCCTCTAATGTCATCAGGTTGAGCTCCCTTAGCCTCTCCTCGTAAGACATATCCCTCAGTTCCGGGACTACTCTTGTTGCAAACTTTTGCACTTTCTCCAATTTCTTGACGTGTTTGATTAGGTATGGGTTACATACTGGTACTGCACACTCCAGTATGAGCCTGTTGTACACGGTGTACAGTGTTGTGAATGACTCCTTACTTAAATGTCGAATTGCTATTCTCAGGTTTGTCAAGCTCCCATTTGCTGCAGCAGTTATTTGATTAATGTACGCCTCAGGAGACATGCTCGGTATAATGCTTGCTCCAAGATCCTTTTATGTAAGTGAAGTTTGCTGCCTTTAATCCCCTAACCTTTACTCCGTCTGTGGTCTTCTCTGTCCTTCCCCAGTCTTCATGATTTTGCACTTGTTGGGGTTAAACTCCAGGAGCTATTTGTAGGACCAGACTTGTAGATTATCCAGATTTTCTTGTAATCTTACCTGATCTTCACTCGCTTGTATTCTCCTTGACAGTTTTACATCAACAGCGAACAGTGACACGTCTGAGTCTATTCCTTCCATTATGTCATTCACGTATACAGCAAACAGCACCGGACCTTGGACTGACCCTTGTGGAGCCCCACTCGACACATGCGCCCATTCTAATACTTCATCACGTACCAACACTCGTTGTTTCCTCTATGTCAGGTATTCCCTGATCCACTGCAGTACTTTCCCTACTATTTCTGGCTGCTCTAGTTTTTCAACCAGTCTCTTGTGTAGTACTGTCAAAAGCGTTCTTGCAGTCCAAAAAGATGCAATCTACCCATTCCTCTCTCTCCTGTCATACATTATCGCAGAACTCAAGCAGATTTGTGACATAGGATTTCCCATCTCTGAAGCCGTGCTGATTGCCATGATGAGCCCAATGGTTTCAATGTGCTCCACCACTCTTCTCCTGAAAAACTTCTCCACGACTTTGCATATTATACATGTCAGTTACACTGGTTTGTAGTTTAACGCTGCCTGCCTATCTCCTTTCTTAAAGACTCTTACTACATTGCTGTTTTCCACACTTCAGGTAGTTGCCCCGTTTCGATAAACGAGTTGACGATTGTTGTTAGTGGTACACCCAGCACCTCTGCGCCCTCTCTCAGGACCCACTAAAAATGTCTCGTCCCACCATCTTTGATGTATCTAGTTTACATAGCCGCCTCTTCACCTCATTCTCCGTTGTGTGTAGTTTGTCCAACACTATTTGGTGTACCCTACCAATCCAGTCCACTGTAGTCCAGTCTGTCTCCAATGAAAACATCCTTAAATCTCTTGTTTAGCTCTTCACATACTTCTTTGTCATTTCTTGTGATCTACCTTCCTTCCTTCCTCAGTCTGATTACCTGGTCCTTGATTGTTGTTTTTCTCCTTATTAGCTGTACAATAGTGTTGTGTCAGATCTGGCCTTCGATGGTATTTCAGTCTTGTATTGCCGCTGGGCCTCCTTATCCATGCATATTCATTTCTAGTTCTTTTGCTTATCTCCTTATTTTCCTAGGTCCTTTGTCTTCTATAATTTTTCCATTCTCTAACGCACTTAGTTTGGGTCTCTTTACACCTCTGGGTGAATCAAGGGTTCATTGTGATCTCCCCATTGATTCTGTTTGTATTTTGTAGTCACGTATTTCATCATTTCATTCACTGTTTTTCCGACCAGTTGGACCTGACTAGCTTGTGCTGCTGGGTCTGATGCCGTGCTCCTTCGTTAAGTGGAAGTGACCTGACTAGGTGGGTCATTGGGCTAAGGCGGGGGGGAGACATGGACCTGCTTTGCATTGGTCAGTAGGCCTGCTGCAGTGATCCTTCTTTCTTATGTTCTTATGTTTCCCACTGTACCTCGTGCAGGAAATTCCTCATACCTGTGTCGTCCCGTCTTTTATAGTTCAGCTTCTCATATTCTACCTGTGCTGTTTCCCTTTTTAATTTTAGCTCCTCTACAATGTAAAGCTCAGGACCATGTGATCACTAGCTCCGAGGGGCCTTTCATATGTGATGTCTAAAAGTCTGAACTACTCAGGTGAATATGAAGTCCAGCCTTGCTGGTTCGTCCTCTCCTCACTCTGGTAGTGTCCTTAACATGCTGATGCATGAGATTTTCCAGTACCACCTCCATTATGTTAGCCCTCCACAGTCAGTCTTCTTGTGATTGGAATCACCCACAACTATTAACTTTGCCCTGCCTGCCCTGCCCTGCCCATGTTGGCCTCTCTGGCAACCTCAGCTTTCATCATATTCTTGTTAGGTAAGACACATATGCAACATATGGCCTCTTGCTATTCAGTGGCTGGTTGTACATCATTGCAATCACCACCTTGGGACCCCAGTCTTAAGTGTTTCCCTTCTGTCCACTCCTTCCAACCAACTCCTCAACAGTCCACTGTTTCTCTTGTGAGCAGTGTAACTCCACCTCTTCTGTTCTCTCTGTCTTTCCTCGTGTGTGTGTGTGTGTGTGTGTGTGTGTGTGTGTTGTGTGTGTGTGTGTGTGTGTGTGTGTGTGGGTGTGTGTGTGTGTGTGTGTGGGGTGGGTGTGTGTGTCTTCTCAATAGTAAACCTAGATATTTTGTCCAGTAGCGTAATTCCGATCTACTAGAAAGACTTAAGAACAAACCTGGGCTGGGTAATCTCCTACCCACTGGTCTCTAGGGCGGTCCTCATAAGCAGCCACAGCATCCGTCATCCTTGCTCTCACCGTCGCCCGCATCACTTCTAAGATGCTCATCAACCATTTCTCGACCTGAAATGGAAAATGAGAGATGACTGATCTGTATCGTACAATGTATGGGATCCAGTACTGGATGCTGAACAATGTAGTGTGCGGACCAGTGCTCAGTGGAGAAGGTCAGTTCTCACAGGACCAATACTGACTAAAACAGGACAGTGACAGTATAGAGTGCAGTACTTATTGCTGAATGATAGGTTCCGAAGACCAATATTTTTCATGGAAAATTAAACATTTAAAATCAGTACTCACAGGCACGCGATAATTAGAATTTGAGTAACTGTGCTCAAAAGTGAAGGAACAGATCGTGAGGACCAGTACTCAAAGATGAACGATATGAGGACCAATTTTCCCAGAGAATGATAGTTGAGAACCAGTTCTCACATGTGAATGCTAGTTCAAGTTTGAGGACCAGTTCTCACAAGTAATTCATAATTATATGAGAACAAGTTCTCACAAGTGAATGATAATTATAGAGGACCAGTTTTCAGAAGTGAATTATATTTATAATATGAGGACCATTTTACGTAAGTGAATGATGATAACAGTAAAAGAAACAATTCTCACAAGTGAATGAAAATAACGATATGAGAAACAGTTCTCACACGTCAAAGATAATGAGAGTTTAAAGGCTGAATTTTATGAGATGTACCATTAGCTGGAGGACAACGTAAGACTGGGAAGTTGTACTTACTGGACCGGTGCAGTTAGTGACGTTCTCAAACTCGACGTACTCGCCGTCCTTGGCCGTCATGCCCACGGCGGCAGTGGCGTCGCTAGAGTCGTCCTCGGAAAATTTGAGGCAGGCAATACTATCAAACAACTTAGTGAGGTGCCTGCCAGTGTATAGAACCCGAGTTAGCTCTATCTTCTTTAGACAAGCAAACACACACACATATGTACAAACACACGCCGAATAGGCCAAACTCCTTTAAAAAGTAAACTATTCCCAATTTTTTAAGAGATTGATATATATATATATATATATATATATTATATATATATATATATATATATATATATATATATATATATATATATATTATATATATATTATATATATATATATGTCGTGCCGAATAGGCAGAACTTGCGATCTTGGCTTAAATAGCAATTCTCATCTTGCCATATAGGACAAGCGAAAATTTGTGTATGCAATAATTTCGCCAAAATCATTCTGAACCTAACGAAAAAAATATATTTCACTGTGTTTGTTTAGTATTAAATTATTGTAAACAAATCTAAAATATATTTAGTTGGGTTAGGCTAAAATAAATTGTTCTTGTTATAATAAGGTTAGGTAAGTTTTCTAAGATTCTTTTGGTGCAAAATTAAAATTTTTTACATTAACATTAATGAAAAAAATATATCTTTAAATGTATAAGAGAAAATTTTAGAAAGGACTTAATTTTAAATGAGTTCTTGCTAATTGACCAGTTTTACATATTCGGCACGACATATATATATATAATAATGAAAAAAATATATCTTTAAATGTATAAGAGAAAATTTTAGAAAGGACTTAATTTTAAATGAGTTCTTGCTAATTGGCCAGTTTTGCATATTCGGCACGACATATATATATATATATATATATATATATATATATATATATATATAATATATATATATATATATATATATATATATATATATATATATATATATATATCTGTATGTATGAGTGTGTGTGTGTGTGTGTGTGTGTCGTGCCGAATATGTAAAACTGGTCAATTAGCAAGAACTCATTTAAAATTAAATCCTTTCTAAAATTTTCTCTTATACGTTTAAAGATATATATTTTTCATTAATACTGATGTAAAAAATTATAATTTTGCACCAAAAGGAACTTAGAAAACTTACCTAACCTTATTATAACAAACGCAATTTATTTTAGCCTAACCCAACTAAATATATTTTAGATTTGTTTACAGTAACTTAATACTAAACAAACACAGTGAAATATATTTTTTTCGTTAGGTTCAGAATGATTTTGGCGAAATTATTGCATACACAAATTTTCACTTGTCCTATATGGCAAAATGAGCGTTGCTATTTAAGCCAAGATCGCAAGTTCTGCCTATTCGGCACGACATATATATATATATATATATATATATATATATATATATATATATATATATATATATATAAGAACAGAAGAACATAAGAATGGAGGAACACTGCAAAAGGCCTACTGGCCCATGCGAGGAAGGTCCTTATCAAAACGACCTCTACCTAAAGCTACCCAAAAAATAACTCCCGTACTCAATGACGCCAATCAAACCCAGCCGCTCCCACTCATATATTTGTCCAGTCTCTTATTAAAGCTACCCAAGGTCCTAGCCTCCATCAACCTACTGGGAAGACTGTTCCACGCATCTACAACTCTGTTAGAAAACCAGTACTTATCTATGTCCTTTCTAAATCTAAATTTATCCAACTTAAAACCATTATTTCTGGTTCTTACCTGGTTCGACACCCTCAGTATTTTATTAATATCTCCCTTGCTTATGCCCGTCATCCACTTATACACTTCAATGATATCTCCCCTCATTCTACGCCTCTCCAGAGAGTGGAGATTTAAGGCTAGAAGTCTATCTTCATACGGGAGGTTCCTTACACAGTAAATCATTTTAGTCATTCTTCTCTGTATGTTCTCTAATGAGTCTATATCCATCCTGTAGTAATAAATGGTATAAAATACCGACACAATGAAAATATAAACACATATGCAGTATAATGTGATCCTTTATTGACAACGTTTCGCCCACACAGTGGGCTTTTTCAAGTCACAAACAGATCTGAACATTAAAATGGGGTGGAAGGTACGTGAGTATTTATAGTCAGGTTCAGAATGTTGAGGTCAGGTGGAGAATGCTGCATCTGATGATCTACTGAGTGGGGTTATAGAGTCTAAAATCTTGGGTAGCTTGGAAGGGAGATTGGATAAGTTTGTGAGCAGACTTTCTGCAGTGTTCTTCCATTCCTATGTTCTTATGTGGGATAGCGATGAAGTTTCTTGGCAAGGGGTTCAGCAATGTTATAGAAGCCATTTTTCGGGTTGAAGTTGTCGGATATAGAGATAAGCGATGATTCCAGGATTCTTCGGTATTGAGTGTTGTCTTCTCTGGTGATAAGTCTTGAGTTTCTGTGACTTGAAAAAGCCCACTGTGTTGGCGAAACGTTGTCAATAAAGGATCACATTAAACTGCATATGTGTTTATATTTCCATTGTGTCGGTATTTTATACCATTTATTTCCGACAATGGACTTGCTTGATACAACTTTCTTAACTTTATATATATATATATATATATATATATATATATATATATATATATTATCTATAATTTTATATATATATATATATATATATATATATATATATATATATATCAATAACAACACTGCGGCTAGCCAAGGACTCGAACCCATGCTGCTTTGGCCTGCCTCATGGTTCGCAAAAATTCATGACGCCTTAATCCACTGGAACTGAATGTTATACTCGCTACCCAAGGACACACGATGGTGTGGATGACTCTAGGCTAATTTCATTCTAGTCCCTGTTTGGTGTACTAGTACAACGAGCAGTATTTTATATTATTTTGTCCACGAACGAGTGGTATTCATCAATAACAACACTGCGACTAGCCAAGGACTCGAACCCATGCTGCTTTGGCCTGCCTCATGATGGGCGAAAACTCATGACGCCTTAAATCTTCTAAGAATATTCGGAAGGATAAATTCTGGTTATATGGGAGGACCAGCATATTCTTGGTCTGAGGTGTTATCCTAGATTCTGTTCTATAATAAGTTGTCTTAGCTGCCAGCAAGGTAGATTCCACAAACACCATAGGATACCGCAGTTTTATGCCAATGTCAAATATTTTCCTAATTTCTTCATCTAGGATCTCCGGACTGCACACTCTACAGGCTCTCAAAAATATAGTAAGAAATACACTACTTTTGACTCTAGTCTCAAGGTTGGAATAGTAGCGAATGTATGAACACACATTTGTGGCCTTCCTATATACTGTGAACTTTAAACTTTCTATCAACTCGGTGTATCAATACATCTAAGAATGGAAGTTTACTGTCTACCTCTTTCTCCACGGTGAATTTAATAGGCTGGACTAAAGCGTGAAGTCTTGGTAAAAACGTTTTCAGGGCCATATCGTGTGGACAAAGACACAAGATGTCGTCCATATATCTGAATTATTTAGCTCTACATGGCAGGATATCTTTCTACAGTCTAGCCTCGAAAAAATTTCATATACAGATTTCTCAATAAGGGGGACAAAGGATTACCATCGCCATTCCCTGTTTTTGAGCATAGTATTTCCCCTCAAACTCTAACTTGCAATCAACTACACACAGCTTAATCAATTCAATAATGATATTTTTATCAAAAGGCAAAGAGAACTCGTCTAATTCTTCTTCCAAATAAAATAGCAAGTCTGGGACAGGGACTCTCGTGAAGAACGCAGTGACATCAAAACTAAAAATTATAAAATCATTAGACATGTTCATATTTTGAAATTGGTCGATGAGATCAACATTGTTTTTTAAGTGGGCTTCAGAAATGCTGCCAAGCAAAGGAGTTAGTATTTTTACTAACCATTTTAACAAGGCATGTGATGCTGATCCTAGAGAAATAATTATAGGTCTGGCTGGAAAACCTGGCTTGTGGGTTTAACCCTTTGAAGGTCCAAGTGGCCTTGTCCACAGGGTCCAAGAATTTAAAAAAAATGTTTTTTTTTTTATATTTTCTTAGGAAATGGCAAAGAATCTTTTTTCTGAATGTAATAAAACAAAAAGTATGAAATTTGGTGGAAAACTGATGAAATTACACTATTGTGAATTTTACTGTGTCAGAGATATTCACTCATCGGCGATTTTGCCCACTTTGCCTCCTATTTTAGGCCAATTACATTATTCCAGTCGACCAAATTCTTAGCTATTTTGCTAGTATTACTTCTACTTTATCTACTGAGCACAAGAAACTGCCCATTCAACTACCCAATAAAGTGATCAGAAATTGGTAATTTGGTGAATTTCACTCAAAGTTCAAAATATTCCAATTTCAAAATAGGATCCAGAATGAACAATGCAGGCATTCCTGTCACTAAAATAACATTTCCTCTGTTTATCAGTTATGTTTCCAGGCATTACAGATGAATTCCATTTTAATTTTTTTATTTATATAAAGAATTTTTATTCACACAAAAAATTAGAAGATTTACTGTTATGCAGTATTCATGAATGTATATTGGACCCCCCAGTTGACGTGTATTGATGTGCGATGTGATTTGTTTACTCTTGAGCATTCGGCAAAAATCGAACATTTCCGCTAATTGGAGCTCAATTTCAAGCTACTTTCAGTACTAAAATAGAAAAAATCATCTTTATTTCTGTAACATATCTTCCATTCTGTCAAATGAGACCAAGAAACCACAAATACTACTATAAGAACCACATGAAAATACGCCACAGACTTGGTGCTTTAATCGAAAAAAGTTGCAGTTTTTTTTCTCACTATGCACAGTGTGCTGCAGGATTTGTTTTATATGGTGCACACTTATCTCATAGATCCATTTTCTCATATCCAGGCCCAAATTTACCACTCGCAGCTTATATGAGTGAGCTGAGCTCATGATGTAGAACTACGGCTTGGACCCTGTGGACAAGGCGTAGATCTACGGCTTGGACCCTTAAAGGGTTAATCAAACTGTACATGTAAGGGAGTGTCACAGATCTCCCCAATAACTGTTTAATTCCTCATGACCTCTCAGTAAGGATCTAAGTTGTTTATTAAATTTACTATTAACCTGGTCCAATGGGTTCTTATTAAGGGGCACGTAAGTCTTCTAATAATGTGTTCATTTTCCTGCTATAATTTACCTTGTCCCTAATAAGCATCACATTTGCTTTGTCCGCTTTCGTAAGATAAAGTCGAGGATCTTTCTTTTTTTAATAAATCTTTGAGGACAATTCGGTTCAACAGGTCTGAGAAAAGCTCCATATACCATGTCTTTACAGACGTTGAACGTTGCAGGAGATAGGTACCCTTGTTTTTCCAAATTGCAAAAAGATTGGCAAGGTCAACATAATTAATGTCCCCACTAGCAGGCGCGAAACTTAACCCATATCCCAGTGGTGTCTGCTGGTGACGAGTAAGTTCAACAATCGACAGGCAGATAGCGAACTCCGGGTTAGCATGTTGAGACCAGCCACTTTGTGCTACGAGATCGTTTAGTTTCCTAGTATGTACATTCCGTTTTCCGTTTCATTATTCTCAATCTCCTATCTATGAAATCTAGTAAATGATCTTGCCACACAGGTGGTACAATGTTGAAAAACTTTTGTTTGACTTTTCTAACTTCAATAAATAACATTTTTCTTTCGTTTTTAAGCAGATCAATATTCTTAGTAATCACTAACCTGTGGAGTTGATCAAATGGGGTCGACGACAGATTAACTAACCTGTTTTGTAGAAGCGATTTCGGTAATACCTGTTCACTGAGGCACTTTCGTAAAAATACTAATTTTAAGGAAGCTTTGTGGGCCTTAAGAAGTACAGATTTGTAAGAGGAAACAACAAGGGAAGAGAAAGGAAAAAGTTTAGAGAACTGAGGTAAGATTTCGCAAGTGGTATTCATATTATGCAAATACCGCAAACTATGTGATACAGGATGCACAACAACCGCGGGGGCAGTAGAATGATATCTCTAGGCCTTTCGTGTTGCAATCAACACATCATCAGGAGCTTGCAAATTTATATATATTAGATTTCAAGAATGCGTTTAATCTCCTGAAAAGAGACGTGGTATTAGCAGCGGTACAAGAACATTCTCCTGATCTCTTCCCTTTTGTTTCAGCTGGATATAGCAAGGAATCAATGCTCCTGTTTAGAGAGCATGAAATCACATCATCGGAGGGTGTCCAACAAGGAGATCCTCTTTCACCATTTCTCTTCTATATAGCAGTTAGGGAAATCACAGTCAGACTGACCAGTGAGCTAAACATCTGGTTCCTGGGTGATGGCACACTAGCAGGCACAAAGGAGTCTCTCTTAGGTGATCTTAAACAAGTGATGACACGGGGACAGGAAATGGGTCTCATCCTGAATCCATCCAAATGTGAAATCATCTCAGTCAATCAACAAGTGATAAATGCAGTGAGATCAAAACTACCAGGAGCATCAGTCATTGCCCCCACAAATAGTGTCTTGCCTGGAGCACCTCTGGGAAGCAATTCCATTGACACAATTCTCAGGGAGAAATTGGAAGAGTTGAGGAGAATGGAATAACGAATAGGCAGTCTGGACACCCATGAATATGACAGTATCCTGAGGCAGATTTTTACGAAAGTACTTAACCTTACTCTAGAAGACGGGCAGTGGAACCAAGCTACACTTCCAGTCAGACTAGAAGGCATTGGTGTCCGCAAGTCATCACAGATTGAGCTACCTGCTTATCTGTCCTCATGCATAGCATCCAGAGGGCTTGTAGCAGCGATTCTCCCTGAACATCTTAGGGGCAAGATTGGAGTCCCGGACCAAAAGTTCATTGACGGAACCATGATCTGGGATAATGTAATGGGCTCTGAAACCAATCCTGCTCCCCCCCCCAACAGCTACAAACAATCGCACTGGGATGGCCCAATAGTGGAAAATATAGCCTCAACAATGCTTCAGAAGGGAAGGATAGAGCCTGGCAGTAAGAGCTCCTCATGCAGGGGACTTTCTGTTGGCTGTTCCCAACTCCAGCCTTGGCACACGCCTCGACCCATAGACCATCTGCATTGGTGTTTCCCTTCGGCTTGCCGCCCCCATTCTCGCCGAACACAGGTGTATTTGTGGCAGTGAAGCAGCAGACCGATTCGGGTACCATGGTCTTGTGTGCCGTAAATCCGAGTGAAAGATTGCAAGACATGAGAAGGTTAATAACATTATCAAGAGGAGCCTCACAACAGCCGGATGCCCAGCAGTAAGGGAGCCACCCTAACTATGCAGATCTGATGGCAGCGAGAAGCATCCAGATTGTATCACCCTTCAAGCCTGGATAGAAGGGAAGCAGGTGGTGTGGGACTATACCTATCTCCAATACACCAGAGAGGAAGGGGGGGCAGCTGCCAGCTTCAGGGAGTCCCAAAAGTCTAGAAAATATGGAAAACTTGCCCATCATTATATGTTTGTTCCCATAGGCTTAGAGACCCTTGGCTCATGGGGAAAGAGTGCATCTAAGTTCCTTAAGGAGCTAGGAAAAAGACTCATCAGGGTAACTAGGGATCCCAGGGAAGCTAGTTTTCTGTTCCAGCGACTCAGCGCTGCTGCTCAGAGGGGCAATGCCTACTGTATTTCGGGTACACGCCCCAGCTCTGAAGAGCTGGATGAGATTTTCGCATTATAATCAGTGACAAACATGTAATAATATGTACTAGACATGTACTTGTATATGCCATCTTTATATCAACACTGTATCTCTTGAATCTTCTGTACCATATTATGTAATAAAATATACCTATTGGTAAAAAGAATGAAAAGATGGGGTGGTAGGGGAAGTGGAATATTCAAACGGCTTCAGGAAGAAATCTAAATATTCTTCCTTGAAGCCTTTTTATCCACCAGACGTGGACCCCATCTATATATATATATATATATATATATATATATATATATATATATATATATATATATATATATATATATATATATATATATATATGTATAAAGGCAAAGGGGACAAAAGAGAGTGCAAAAATTATAGGGGGATAAGTCTGTTGAGTATACCTGGGAAAGTGTATGGTAGAGTTATTATTGAAAGAATTAATAGTAAGACGGAGAATAGGATAGCAGATGAACAAGGAGGCTTTAGGAAAGGTAGGGGGTGTGTGGACCAGGTGTTTACAGTGAAACATATAAGTAAACAGTATTTAGATAAGGCTAAAGAGGTTTTTGTGGCATTAATGGATTTGGAAAAGGCGTATGACAGGGTGGATAGGGGGACAATGTGGCAGATGTTGCAGGTGTATGGTGTAGGAGGTAGGTTACTGAAAGCAGTGAAGAGTTTTTACGAGGATAGTGAGGCTCAAGTTAGAGTTTGTAGGAGAGAGGGAGATTATTTCCCAGTAAAAGTAAGCTTTAGACAAGGATGTGTGATGTCACCGTGGTTGTTTAATATATTTATAGATGAGGATGTAAGAGAAGTAAATGCGAGGGTCTTGGCAAGAGGCGTGAAATTAAAAGATAAAGAATCACACATAAAGTGGGAGTTGTCACAGTTGCTCTTTGCTGATGACACTGTGCTCTTGGGAGATTCTGAAGAGAAGTTGCAGAGGTTGGTGGATGAATTTGGTAGGGTATGTAAAAGAAGAAAATTAAAAGTAAATACAGGAAAGAGTAAGGGTATGAGGATAACAAAAAGATTAGGTGATGAAAGATTGGATATCAGATTGGAGGGAGAGAGTATGGAGGAGGTGAATGTATTCAGATATTTGGGAGTGGACGTGTCAGCGGATGGGTCTATTAAGGATGAGGTGAATCATAGAATTGATGAGGAGAAAAGGGTGAGCGGTGCACTTAGGAGTCTGTGGAGACAAAGAACTTTGTCCTTGGAGGCAAAGAGGGGAATGTATGAGAGAATAGTTTTACCAACGCTCTTATATGGGTGTGAAGCATGGGTGATGAATGTTGCAGTGAGGAGAAGGCTGGAGGCAGTGGAGATGTCATGTCTGAGGGCAATGTGTGGTGTGAATATAATGCAGAGAATTCGTAGTTTGGAAGTTAAGAGGAGGTGCAGGATTGCCAAAACTGTTCTCCAGAGGGCTGAGGAAGGGTTGTTGAGGTGGTTCGGACATGTAGAGAGAATGGAGGGAAGCAGAATGACTTCAAGAGTGTATCAGTCTGTAGTGGAAGGAAGGCGGGGTAGGGGTCGGCCTAGGAAAACTTGGAAGGAGGGGGTAAAGGAGGTTTTGTGTGCGAGGGGCTTGGACTTCCAGCGGGCATGCGTGAGCGTGTTTGATAGGAGTGAATGGAGACAAATGGTTTTTAATACTTGACGTGCTGTTGGAGTGTGAGCAAAGTAACATTTATGAAGGGGTTCAGGGAAACCGGCAGGCCGGACTTGAGTCCTGGAGATGGGAAGTACAGTGCCTGCACTCTGAAGGAGGGGTGTTAATGTTGCAGTTTAAAAACTGTAGTGTAAAGCACCCTTCTGGCAAGACAGTGATGGGGTGAATGATGGTGAAAGTTTTTCTTTTTCGGGCCACCCTGCCTTGGTAGGAATCGGCCAGCGTGCTAATAAAAATAATTAATATATATATATATATATATATATATATATATATATATATATATATATATATATATATATATATATATATATATATATATATATATATATATATAAAAATATATATAAAATAATATAATATATATATAATTATATAACATATATATATATATATATATATATCAAATATATATATTAATATATATTATTAATATATATATATATTATATATATATAGATAGTGAGAGGAGAGAGAGAGAGAGAGAGAGAGAGAGAAATTCAAGTAATTTATTAGACTGTCAGGTAAACTGGAGTACAGGGAATGGACGCTGCCCACAGATGACGCCTGATGAGTATTTAATATTATTTTAATGTTCATAATTTTTTTATTAAGAATATTTGACAGTACCTGGTGACCTTGGTGGGTTGGTTTCCATTGGAGAGAATATCAAGGAGATCTGCCGTAGAGACAAAGTAGAACCTAGGGAAGGCCAACCTCTTTGTCTCCAGATATTCTGCCAGTGTTTTCTCACAGAGAGTTAATTCTGCTTGGAGGGCTTCCAGTCTGGTGATCAGTCCAACTCTGTTGGTGGCTTGAAGGACGTGTGGTTTAACGACCATCTCTGCTACCAGCTCCTGTACAAACATCAAATTTATTATCTCGCAAATATTTTTCTGACAAGGGATTTTACTAGAAAATATTTTAGGCCATATGAATTTTAAATTTCACTTTACAACAGATAAATTTTCGGAGGAAAAGCACCTAATATTAACAATGAGCATGTGGTCAATAATAACCCACATGGAGACTGCAGATCTACTGAAGCGGATCCCAGAAGGGGGTCAAAATATACAGATCAGTCTCCCGAGTTTCTGTCTGCATGTGGGGATTTACATTTGCAGGGGATGAGAATCACTTCCTTGGTAGGAAAATGTGTGTCAGGATAACTCCCGTGGAATTCTTCATTTTAATCCTAATTAGCACGAATGTATGAAAAGTAAGCCCTTTATACGAACCTAATGTGACTTAAATGAGATAAATGGCAATTACTTGTCCCTTGTTTACACTGAGTCACCCATCAGTCTTCTCTATAATCTTGCAGCTCGCTCTCATAACTACCATGCTCTCCTTCCCATCATTTTTCTACAAATCACTGGAACCTGCGACACTTCTCGCAGTGTGTCGCAGCCTCCACACTTGTAACAGTGTACAATACATCTACCTTTGCGAAGTATTGATATAATTTTTAACTCCCAATAGAAGTACTTTCCCTTAATATCTTTTACTCATTCCACAGGTTTCATTCCTACCCACATGTTTCACATTCTCCACCCAAACACATGTCTGATACCCTCCACCCGACCACATGTGTGATAACCTCCACCCGACCACATGTTTGACACAATCCACCCGACCACATGTTTGATATCCTCCACCCGACCACATGTTTGACACAATCCACCCGACCACATGTTTGACACCTTCCACCCAACAACATGTTTGATATCCTCAACCCGACCACATGTATGATAACCTCCACCCGACCACGTGTCTGATACCCTCTACCCGACCACATGTTTGATACCCTCCACCCGATCACATGTTTGACACAATTCACCAGACCACATGTTTGATACTCTCCACCAGACCACATGTTTGATACCCTCCAACCGACACATGTTTGACACCCTCCACCCGACCACATGTTTGATACCCTCCACCCGACCACATGTTTGATACCCTCCACCCGACCACATGTTTCATACTCTCCACCCGACCACATGTTTCATACCCTCCACCCAACCACATGTTTCACACCCTCCACCCGACCACATGTTTCATACCCTCCACCCGACCACATATTTAATGCCCTCCACCCGACCACATGTATGATAACTTCCACCCTACCACATGTTTGATACCCTCCACCCGACCACATGTATGGCACCTACCAGACCACATGTTTGATACCCCTCCACCTGACCACATATTTGATACCCTCCACCCGACCACATGTTTGACACAATCCACCCGACCACATGTTTGATACCCTCCACCCGACCACATGTTTGACACACTCCACCCGACCACATGTTTGATACCCTCCACCAGACCACATGCTTGATACCCTCCACCCGACCACATGTATGACACCCTCCACCCGACCACATGTTTGATACCCTCCACCCGACCACATGTTTGATACCCTCCACCCGACCACATGTTTGACATCCTCCACCCGACCACATGTTTGATTCCCTCCACCCGACCACATGTTTGATACCCTCCACCCGACCACATGTTTGATACACTCAACCCGACCACATATTTGATACCCTCGACCCGACCACATGTTTGATACCCTCCACCTGACCACATGTTTGATACCCTCCATATAAAATAATGAGAGGAATTGACAAGGTGGACAGAGACAGAATGTTCCAGAGATGGGACACAGAAACAAGGGGTCACAATTGGAAACTGAAGACTCAGATGAGTCAAAGAGATGTTAGGAAGTATTTCTTCAGCCACAGAGTTGTTTGGAAGTGGAATAGTTTGGCAAGCGATGTAATGGAGGCAGGAACCATACATAGTTTTAAGACGAGGTGTGATAAAGCTCATGGAGCAGGGAGGAGGACCCAGTAGCGGTCCCAAATCTGCACACAGAAATCACTCCCTACGAAAGTAAAAGACTGGGCAGGCGATGCAAAATGCCCCCAATAAAAAGTAGGGGCGCCATTGGTACACTAAGGGAAAACACCATAAGTGTCCGGGGCCCAAAACTGTTCAACAGCCTCCCATCAAGCATTAGGGGAATTGCCAATAAACCCCTGGCTGCCTTCAAGAGAGAGCTGGACAGATACCTAAAGTCAGTGCCGGATCAGCCGGGCTGTGGCTCGTACGTCGGACTGCGTGCGGCCAGCAGTAACAGCCTAGTTGATCAGGCCCTGATCCATCGGGAGGCCTGGTCATGGACCGGGCCGCGGGGGCGTTGATCCCCGGAATAATCTCCAGGTAACCTCCAGGTGGGACGACCCCCGTGTCCATGCTCCCTATCCATAGGATGGAAAAGGCAGTTCTTGATGAACACGGAGTTCCATTAGTCTGGCCCTGGGGCAGAGTGCATGGGCATGTCATTTATCGCCTGTTCGAAGTCATTTGGCGTCAGGATAACATCGGATAGGCTTGTGTTAACCAAATTCTGTGGCTCTCTCATAAAAAATTCATTTTGATCTTCGACTCTCAGTCTGGTTAGCGGCTTACTAAAAACTGAGTCATACTGGGACTTGAGTAGCTCACTCATTTCCTTGCTGTCATCTGTGTAGGACCCATCTTGTTTAAGTAGGGGCCCAATACTGGACGTTGTTCTCGACTTTGATTTGGCAAGGAGAAGAATACTTTGGGTTTCTTTCGATTTCATTTATGGCTTTTGGGTTTTTCCCGCGATTCCTGACTCCTATAAGATTCCTTTAGCTTAAGTTCGATGCTTGCTATTTCTCTGACCAGTGTCTCCCTACGCATTTCAGATATAATGACCTCTTTTAGCCGCTCTGTTATTCTTTTCCGTCGCCTGTAAAGGGAGCGCCTGTCTCTTTCTATTTTACATCTACTCCTCCTTTTTCTTATAGGAATAAGCCTTGTGCATACATCGAGTGCCACCAAGTTAACCTGTTCTAGGCATAAGTTGGGGTCTGTGTTGCTTAGTATATCTTCCCAGCTTATATCGGTTAGGACTTGGTTTACTTGGTCCCACTTTATGTTTTTGTTATTGAAGTTGAATTTGGTGAAGGCTCCCTCGTGACTAATCTCATTATGTCGGTCTGGGGCTCCACGCATACATGTCTGAACCTCAATTATGTTGTGATCTGAGTATATTGTTTTTGATATGGTGACATTTCTTACCAGATTATCATTGTTAGTGAAGATGTGGTCTAGTGTATTCTCCAGTCTAGTAGGCTCTATTATTTGCTGGTTTAAATTGAATTTTGTGCACAGATTTAAAAGCTCGTGTGAGTGTGAGTTTTCATCAGAGCTGCCTCCTGGTGTTATTACTGCAACAATATTATTTGCTATATTCCTCCATTTTAGGTGCCTTAAGTTGAAATCCCCCAGGAGCAAGATGTTGGGTGCAGGAGCAGGAAGATATTCCAGACAGTGGTCAATTTTTAACAGCTGTTCCTGGAATTGCTGGGATGTTGCATCCGGAGGCTTGAAGACTACCACAATGACTAGGTTTTGGTTCTCGACCTTTACTGCTAAAACTTCCACTACATCATTTGAGGCATTAAGCAGTTCCGTGCAAACAAGTGACTCTGCAATGTACAGGCCAACCCCCCCCCCCTTTGTTTTTTGCCTGTTCACTCTGTCACATCTGTATAGGTTGTAACCTGGGATCCATATTTCGTTGTCCAAGTGATCCTTTATGTGGGTCTCAGTGAAATCCGCGAACATTGCCTTTGCCTCTGCAAGCAGTCCACGGATGAAAGGTATTTTGTTGTTTGTTGCTGGCTTTAGACCCTGTATATTTGCAAAGAAGAATGTCATCGGACTGGTGGTATTGTTGGTACTGGGGGGGATTTTTTTTCCGGCACTAGTATCTGTATCTGTTGGTTTGGAATGGAGGCCAAGAATAAAGACCAAGAATAAAGTATACTTATTCCGTTTATTATGTTCACCTATGTTTATTGTTATAAATTATGTCATGCACTAGACTTACTTTTTGTATAGCGAGAGTAGCAGGGAAGTTGCTATGATCAAATTACAGCCTTTTCAAAAACTCTTACTAGCGCAAGAAAGGCAATTGTGACTGGCCGACTTCTAGCCCATATTTTCCTGAGTTGCAAGTCAGAAAGTTGTGCTCAGGTTGGTCAAGCCAGTTGCTGCTCAGACACACTAGTGTGTATCTCTCAAGTTCCCCAGATCAGTTATAATTTTATTGTATTGGAGTATTACGTGAATTCTTTTTATAAGCAAATTAATACTTAGGGACACAGAAGAGTTTATATTACCCACTTTTGTGACGTGGACACAGGTTGTGGTGGAATGAGGCTACACTGTTTGTTGCGCTTTTATACCAGGTTCAAAAATATATTCAGTAGCTAATGAGACAGTCATAGTAGTCAGTGATATTTTCATAATCCCTCAGAAAGTATACTGCATCATTCTCAAACTTTCCAACGGGTTTAATTTCAGTGCTTAGAAGTATGGTAAAATAAATATCAATATTATGTCAGTGAAAAAATATATACTTGTTTCCGTTACTTTCTGGTGACCTTATAATATTTTTGTAGTAATATTTCACCTGTCATTCTATTAAATGTTGCATACTGTTATGATGGGAATGAATCATGTTTTATACATTCTGGAAGCCCCATGATCACGTTATAAGTAGTTGTGTTCTATGTTATGAATCAAGCACTGCTAGAAGTTTTAATTTGTTAATGTATTTCTTATCAATAAAAAAAACGGTGTGGCGTGAGTAAATTTTTACTCTGAAAGTGAGGCCCAGAGAAAAAAATGTTTGGGAACCACTGCTTTAAAATATCAGATGGAAATGAAAGATGTTTTAAAGATACTGGAAGCAGCAGTTACACATCAAATTCACAACTACGGTATTTTAAGAAGATAACTTCAACCAGAAATTAACACCAAGTTTACAGTGAAGTACATATCATCAACTATTTGGCACGTCACGTAGCTCTTCTATGCACTTAAGCCCCTCCCCCACATAGAGAATTAGGACAGATGTACACATGAAAGGGGTAAGGCAGCTGGGATTGAGGGGATAAAGATACAAATGTTAAAAGCAGGTGGGGATATAGTTTTGGAGTGGTTAATGTTTTATTTAATAAATGTATGGAAGAGGGTAAGGTATATAGGGACTGGCAGAGAGCATGCATAGTTCCTTTGTATAAAGGCAAAGGAGACAAAAGAGAGTGTAAAAACTATAAGGGAATAAGTCTGTTGAGTATACCTGGTAAAGTGAATGGCAGAGTTATTATTAAAAGAATTAAGAGTAAGACGTAGAGCAGGATAGCAGACTAACAAGGAGGGGGTATGTAGATCAAGTGTTTGCAGTGAAATATATAGATGAACAGTATTTAGATGAGAGTAAAGAGGTTTTTGTGGTATTTATGGATTTGGAAAAGGCATATGATAGGGTGGTTAGGTGGGCAATGTGGCAGATGTTGCAAATGTATGGAATAGGAAGTAAGTTATTGAAATAGTGAAGAGTCTTTATGAGGATAGTGAGGCTCGGGTTAGAGTATGTATGCGAGAGGGAGATTGTTTCCCAGTAAAAGTAGGCCTTGTACAAGGATGTGTGATGTCATCAAGGTTATTCAATATATTTATAGATGGAGTTGTAAGAGAAGTGAATGCTCAGGTGTCGGCAAGAAGTGTGAGGTTAACGCAAAGTGGGAGTTGCCACAGTTGCTCTTTGCTGATGACACTGTGCTTTTGGGCGATTATGAAGAGAACCTGCATAGTTTCGTTGATGAGTTTGGTACGGTGTGTAAAAGAGGGAAAACAATAGTGAATATAGGAAAGTGTAAGGTGATAAGGATAACAAAAAAATTAGGTAACGGAAAATTGGATATCAGATTGGAGGGAGAGAGTATGGAAGAGGTGAATGTATTCAGATATCTGGGAGTGGACGTGTCAGCAGATGGGTCTGTCGTGCCGAATAGGCAGAACTTGCGATCTTGGCTTAAATAGCAACGCTTATCTTGCCATATAGGACAAGTGAATATTTGTGTATGCAATAATTTCGCCAAAATCATTCTGAACCTAACGAAAAAAAAATATTTAGCTTTGTTTGTTTAGTATTAAATTACTGTAAACAAATCTAAAATATATTTAGTTGAGTTAGGCTAAAATAAATTGCGCTTGTTATAAAAAGGTTAAGTAAGTTTTCTAAGATTCTTTTGGTGCAAAATTAAAAATTTTGACATTACATTAATGAAAAAATATATCTTTAAACGTATAAAAAAATATTTCAGAAAGGACTTAATTTTAAATGAGTTCTTGCTAATTGACCAGTTTTACATTTTCGGCACGACAGGTCTATGAAGAATGAGGTGATTCACACAACTGACGAGGGGAAAAAGGTGAGTGGTGCGCTGAGGAGTCTGTGGATACAAAGAACTTCATCCATGAAAGCATAGAGGGGAATGAATGAGAGTATAATTATCGCTCTTATATGGGTGTGAGGCATGGGTTGTGAATGTTGCAACAAGAAGAAAGTTGGAGGCAGTGGAGATGTCATGTCCGAGGGTAATGTGTGGTGTGAATATAATGCAGAGAATCCGTAGGTTGGAGATTGGGAGGAGGTGCAGGATTACCAAAACTATTATCCAGAGGGCTGAGGAGGGGTTATTGAGATGGTTTGGACATGTAGAGAGGAAGGAACGACTTCAAGACTTCAAGACTGTATAAATCTGTAGTGGAGGGAAGGCGGGGTAGGGGTCGGCCTAGGAAAGGTTGGAGGGAGGTGGTAAATGATGTTTTGTGTGCGAGGGGCTTGGACTTCAAGCAAGTGTGCGTGAGCGTGTTAGATAGGAACAAATGGAGATAAATGGTTTTTAGGATTTGACGCGCTGTTGGAGTGTAAGCAAGGTAACATTTATGAAGGGTTTCAGGGAAACCGGCAGGATGGACTTGAGTCTTGGAAATGGGAAGTACAGTGCTGGCGCTCTGAAAGAGGGGTGTTAATGTTGCCGTTGTATGACTGTAGTGTAAGCACACCTCTGACAAGAGTGATGGAGTGAATGATGAGGGAAGATTTTCTTTTTCGGGCCACCCTGCCTTGGTGGGAAACAGCCGATGTGTTAATGAAAATTAATAATGCACATGTCCCCCTGGATAACTTTAAAAGTAAGAGGTATCTTGTCCACTGCTGTTGGGAACCTCCTCCTGCCGTCTTGTTGATAGGGCCGCTGTGAAAATTTTAAGTCGCGATGTAGCCACAATTCATCGTGGGCTTGGAATTCCAAGTTTGCGAGGCAGCAGATCATTCAGCACGGGCACACACTGGAAATCTATCAGTTCAAAAGGAACCCGATTACATTTAATTTTGCCGACGCTTTTAACTTAGTCACATGGAATACTGTCCTCAGAGCCGTTCATCAACACTTTCCTCTCATTCAGTCGTGTTGTGGTGGTATTTATTAAAACTTCAAAGTGAAGCAGAATGATCCCTCTTCGCCCTTTTACTTGTAGTTCTAGAAGGAAGTGAAAGGTTGTCCAGTCAACTCGTATGATTCTTGGATATCAGAACTGTCATTGCAAAATCTGCTAGAAAAATCCTACCTAAAAATATTCCCACTTTTTCCTTAAAATGCTCAAACTTTTAAGCTAAAATAATCACATTCTTACCATAAATATCAACTTCATAATATTTAAATTAGCATCTTTAAACTTTCCTACGCCTATTTTAGAATGTTTACACTTACCTTAAAACCTTCAGATATTCTCACATTTACTATATAACCCAAATCCCACTTTAAAATAGTCCCACTTTTACATATCATTATTCTACTGGTACCTTGAAAAACTTTTACCTTAAAATCGATGTCGATCTGATCGAATCTGGCAGAATCCTCGGGAAGTTGACGGCGGATGTCGTCCGACCCGATGAAAATAGATTCCAAGTAACTCCACGTTCGCTGGACCTCAAACCTAACCCAGAAAGACACATCAGACTCCACTCAGAATGTGCATTAATGTTTCATTTGAGTTAGAAAGCGTTTGCCAGTTTCTTAATTACAGCCATCCTGACTCAGTATTATTATATTTATCTACCTGTTCTGTCAGCATTTCTGTGTCTGTGTCTGTATTTTTGTCTCTGTGTATGTGTCTTTATCTCTGTCTCTTTGTCTCTGTCTCTTTGTCTCTGTCTTTATCTCTGTCTCTTTGTCTGTATCTGTCTTTGTGTCAGTCTGCCTGTCTCTCTCTCTTACTAGTATGAAAGCGTTACATTACACAGTAAAACGAGAAATATAATGTGTAAAATTAGGTATCTCCAAAGGAGGACCTTTAACAGACTGTCTGATATTTTTTTTTTCCTTCTCTTCTAACTTTTTTTTTTTTTAATTTTGACTGAAAACTTTGGAAGACTTCATCCAATCACCTTCGAAATTTCAACTCTTCTGCACAGTCACTAGGGCCAGATTCTTGAAACATCTAGCATGTCTAGGTGTCCTACGACCAAAGTTGTTGTTAAACCCATTTCCAACATCCAGTCATGGCTCAAAACTTTCAAAACGTGATCCGCATCTTCAACGACGATGTCTCCTGATATGACGACGCCGGAGTGATATTCATGTATGTAGGGACACATCTGCTACTTTTGTGAAAAAAATAGTGTGAACTTTTTATTCCGGTTACATCGCTTTTATATAGTAAGTGTGGGTAAAGTTTCCAGTATATTAAACTGGTTAAAAATTCTTGGAATGGTCGGCATCTGCATGATAACGGAAGAATGTCTCTTTCAATCAGCTTAAAATTTTCGGCTATTGTTTGTTTTCCAGGAACCAATATTCATGTTACTGAACTACATAAATACCAATATGTCGATTTTATTAAATTGTGATATGAATTTCTATTCAATATCTAAAGAATGCCTCGTCTGATCGGCTTCAAAAATATTAAAGCCGATGAATCATACCATAATAATGATAATACCCTACGAGATTAGACTGTATAGGTGTAAATTTGAAATTTTATTGTATTTAAATAACATGGAGTCTTTGGATTCCGAGCACTTAAATAATGAAAACTAGTTTTTATCTAGTTTTTAATTTTCAACTGATTAATAAACCTTTAAATTAATTTAAAAGCAATCACATTTAGATATAGTATTCTTGTCTTTCACAACCTTCCTTCAAGACTTTCGTTAATTACTTCAGAATGCCTGATACGATCACCTTCAAGTGTTCAGACTTGTTGAGCTAAGACAAGTGGAAAGGTTCTCGGAGCAGTTTTACGTCATTTTTAATATTCGTTTCTCGTTCATAACTTCAGAAATACAGTCGTCGTCTGCTTCAAAAATAACCACACTAGTGAAACCTACTGTATTTGGAAGGTTAGTGTTGTTAATGGAATATGTGGGTGTCATTTTGTCACTTTTAATCTCAAAATGGTATAATAATGTATTGAATAACTAATTGGGCTGTTTCCTCAAGAAGAAAGAGTGTTTGATGGTGGTAAGTGCTCTTCATCCCTGGAAATGAATTTTTACTTCTCCTAGAATCGAATTTTAATGTCTCCCCTTTTCCACACGTTTTACGGCCCCTACGAGACTAACGTTTTCCCTTGATTAAATTATAACAATTTCGTACGGCATCAATTTTTTTTTTTAGGCTGAGGCATCTTATCAAGCAGATGAAACCTTTTTAGTTTAAGTTGTGTAGGTGCAAATTTTGTTATATTCTGTGCAATAACTAGAGAATGCATCTCTGGGGCGGCTTCCAACTTTTATTGCTGATGTATTTCCTGCAAAGGAAGATTCACTTTGATCCTGAGTTGTGTTAGCTCTAATGTCAAAATTTTATTAACCAAAAATAAATGGAGAAAATCTCTTCTTATCAGAAATATGTCAGATTGTTTGAGTTTATCGAGTTATCGTAAGTTAAATAAATATATTGCTCTTTTATGTGCCCATAACATCTATGTGTCCTCACGACTATTTTGAAAAAAATTGGAAAAAGTGAAACAGTGCGTTTAATGCGATAATTTTTGACTGCTGGATCCAAGTGGCTTTAATTAATCCTTCAATGTTAATAACGTGATATAATTGCAACTTCTGAGCTTCTTAAAATTTAATGTGCTTGTGTAATTTAGGATATTGGTTTCTCTGAGATAACAGGATAATGCCTCATCAGTTTAGCTTCAAAACTGATATATTTTCAGTACAAAGTTTGCAATGTGTATCTCCTAATTTGTTATTTTTATTGTGAAAATTAAATTACTGATACATGACTTGTAAATTTGCATTCTGAGTTCTTCAGATTTTTAGTGCTAATACCAAACTGCATTAGAAATTTATGTTGCACTCTGAATTATCCCTTTCTAGTGTAATAAGGTCCGGGGGTGGGGATTATGCAGTACAAAGATGAGTATCTCCGATCGCGCCTCAACCGAAATATATGTAGATATTATTATTTATAAGTGAAGCGCAGCACAGTGATTATACAGTTCATGGGAAATGGGAGGCATTCAGGTTTTATCCAAGAAAGGGAAGTATAAGTCCAATTCTTTGGATCAAAACCCCTTTAGCAGTATCAAAGAATCTCTCTTTAGTGGTCAGATGTATGTAAACACTCACCATAGCGTGATGACTTGGTCGGCAATTGAGAGTCTGTTTTGCCATGTGGACACCTCCTCCAGGAAGTGTTCGATGTACTTTGATGTCATCAGGTTCTGAAGCTGAACCTAAAGATGGAAAGGTTGTCTATGTCAGAGGAAGCCTAATAGACGAGAGATCGTCTGTAGTAAGAGAATCCTAAAAAAAAAAATGAACACCTATGGTAAAAAATAAGTTTAAAAAGTACAGTGCAGTGGAATAAAATAATCATTTTTTTTTTCATTAACTAATAAAAGACTGTGCACTCACATGTACATGTGTCACACAAGATAGGTAAAACCTGCTTTTCTTTCCGCCATATATTCTCAAAGTGAAAAAATTGTACAATCTCACGTTGTATATAAAATTCTCATTAATTAAATTTAGTCCATTATAGATGATATTTTTACACCATTATAACTTATATTTTTAGTCCATTGTAACTGATACGATAAGAAAACATCTTTATAAGAATATTCTGATCTATAATACTCAGCTTGGGCTCACGAAGGGCCGCTCCTGCCTGACTAATTTACTGACTTTCTTCAATAAGGTTTTTAAGTCTGTTGATGACAAAGAATGCGATATTACTGATTTGGATGTTAGTAAACCTTCTGATAGAATAATATACAAAATACTTTTAAAGAAAATGGCAGCTCATGGTATTGAGGAAATGTCATGTCATGGATCGAGGCGTGGACTTGCTAACAGGAAACAGGGAGTGCGTGAATGAGAATCAATCACAAGCGTCGTTCCACAAGGATCAGTTGTTCATAATATACATTAATGACCTTGACGAGAGAATAACAAGTGTTATGAGCCAATTCGCTGACAATATAAAAATAGGCAGGATTATTGATTCAGAGGAAGATGCCACCGTTCACCAGAAAGATATAGACAAGGTCATGTCATGGTCTGAAAAGTAGCAGATGCAGTTCAATGTAGATAAATGAAATGTCCTGAAGCTTGGGCATGTAAATAACCCTAGCACTTATAAACTAAATAATAAGCAGCTTGGCCATACAGAATGCGAAGAGGACTTGGGAGTTATTTCTAAGCAAGAACCTGAAGCCAAGACAGCAATAGCTAAGCGTACATAATAAGGCAAACAGATTACTGGGATTTATATAGAAGTATAAGCAAGAGAAGTCTGGAGGTTTTACTCCAGCTCTACACATCATTTGTAAGGCCTCACTTCATGTCTGATCTCCATATTCCTTAGAAAACATGCGGAGCAGAATGGGAAAATTAATCCACTGTTTAAAAAATCTCCCATACGATTGATGGGATAAAGATAGAAATGTTGAAAGTAGGTGGGGATATAGTTTTGGAGTGGTTGGCACTATTATTTAATAAATGTATTGAAGAAGGTAAAGTACCCAGGGATTGGCAGAGAGCATGCATAGTTCCTTTATATAAAGGCAAAGGGTATAAAAGAGAGCGCAAAAATTATTGGGGAATAAGTTTGTTGAGTATACCTGGTAAAGTGTATGGTAGAGTTATTATTGAAAGAATTAAGAGTAAGACAGAGAGTAGGATAGTAGATGAACAAGGAGGCTTTAGGAAGGGTAGGGGGTATGTAGACCAAGTGTTTACAGTGAAACATATAGATGAACAGTATTTAGATAAGGCTAAAGAGGTTTTTTTGGCATTTATGGATTTGGAGAAGGTATATGACAGGGTGGATAGGGGGGCAATGTGGCAGGTGTTGTAGGTGTATGGTATAGGAGGTAGGTTACTAAAAGCAGTGAAGAGTTTTTACGAGGATAGTGAGGCTCAAGTTAGAGTATGTAGGAGAGAGGGAGATTATTTCCCAGTAAAAGTAGGCCTTAGACAAGAATGTGTGATGTCACCGTGGTTGTTCAATATATTTACAGATGGAGTTGTAAGAGAAGTAAATGCGAGGGTCTTGGCAAGAGGTGTAGAGTTACAAGATGAAGAATCAAACACAAAGTGGGAGTTGTCACAGTTGCTCTTTGCTGATGACACTGTGCTCTTGGGAGATTCTGAAGAGAAGTTGCAGAGGTTGGTGGATGAATATGGTAAGGTATGTAAAAGAAGAAAATTAAAAGTGAATATAGGAAAGAGTAAGATGATGAGGATAAGAAAGAGATTAGGTGACGAAGACTTGACATCAGATTGGAGGGAGAGAGTATGGAGGAGGTGAATGCATTTAGATATTGAGGAATGGACTTGTCAGCAGATGGGTCTATGAAGGATGAGGTGAATCATAGAACTGATGAGGGAGAAGGGTGAGTGGTGCACTTAGGAGTCTGTGGAGACAAAGAACTTTGTCCATGGAAGCAAAGAGGGGAATGTATGTGAGTATAGTTATACCAACACTCCTATATGGGTGTGAAGCATGGGTGATGACTGTTGCAGCGAGGAGAAGGCTGGAGGCAGCGGAGATGTCAAGTCTGAGGGCAATGTGTGGTGTGAATATAATGCAGAGAATTCGTAGCTTGGAAATTAGGATAAGGTGCAGGATTACCAAAACTATTGTCCAGAGGACTGAGGAGGGGTTGTTGAGGTGGGTCGGACATATAGAGAGAATGGAACAAAACAGTATGACTTCGAGAGTGTATAAATCTGTAGGGGAGGCAAGGCGAGGTAGGGGTCGGCCTAGTAAAGGTTATAAGGAGGGGGTAAAGGAGGTTTGGTGTGCGAGGGGCTTGGACTTCAAGCAAGCATGCGTGAACATATTTGATAGGAGTGAATGGAGGCAAATGATTTTTAATACTTGACGTGCTGTTGGAGTGTGAGCAAAGTAACATTTATGAAGGGATTCAGGGAAACCGGCAGGCCGGACTTGAGTCCTGGAGATGGGAAGTACAGTGCCTGCACTCTGAAGGAGGGGTGTTAATGTTGCAGTTTCATAACTGTAGTGTAAAGCACCCTTCTGGCAAGACAGTGATGGTGGAAATCGGCCGATATGTTAATAAAAAAAATCGGGTAATAGGTAAAAAGAAGCTTTTGAGTGAGTTCACTTTCACCAAATGCAATGAGACCTGACAATGTGTCACCATGGATTGTAAGAGAGGAAGGAGAACCACTGCCTGAACCACTAGGTAGGATCTACAAGTCAATGGACACTGGGCAGTTGGCGGAGAACTGGAAAACGGCGATATTCCAAATATTTAAGAAAAAACATTAAAAGGCCATAATTTTGTCCGCACTGAATTAACTGTTGATATGGGCACATTATCCCTTGCAAATATGATGTTGGGTTTACAATCTGCAATGTTAAATTTGTGCCAGAACTCTGGAACTTCAAGCTCTGAGTCTAACGTCCATTGCTGCAAGCAGTTTCTGCAACACTCTGCGGGTCAAGATACACGTAAATTACTTAATTACTCCTTCCTCCAGTGATTGTATCAGTTATGTCGTATTAAATGGCTAAAAACAACCTTAACATTTGGGTTCAAATCCTGCAACAGGTCACGATAAGCACAGTAATTATCAAGAATATAAAATTCGAAACGAAGCAGCAGGCCTACCGACCCATGCTAGGCAGGCCTACCGACCCATGCTAGGCAGGGCTACCGACCCATGCTAGGCAGGCCTAACTGACACCCACCCACACCTACTCATGTACTTGTCTAACCCATTTTTGAAGTTACTCAAGGTTTACGCTTCAATGACGCTACTCGAGAGTTTGTTCCACTCATCCACAACTCTGTTACCAAACCAATGCTTTCCTATATCCTTTCTAAATCTAAATTTTCTCACTTGAACCCATTGCTGCGAGTCCCGTCTTTGATACATATTTTTAGCAAGTTATTGATATACTTTTTATTTATTCCTGTCTTCCATATATTAAACATTAGTTATAGTCCCCCTAATTCTAATCCCTTCCAGAGCGTGCCAGTTCAATGTCTTCAGTCTATCCTCGAATGAAAGATTTCTGATACATGGGGTGAACTCTCTCATCCTTCTATACATACTAAGAATCTGTCCTCATTCAATTGTTAACGAAGTGCATTGAACATTAAGGTAATAAAATGTATAGTGTATGTAGATACCGTTCGTTTTCGAGGAAGACACTGCTAGAGATCCTATATATATATATGATTTTATGGTGACACTTCCCTCTGTCTTCATGAACCCCAACATTTTCTTCAAGTATTCAGGAGAATGGCTGCTACAAGTTCACTGGATGCCACGCATGAAGACAGAAAAACCCTCTTTTTAACCGGTTTTCTCTGAGGAAATTTGTATTTATTTTTTAGAACTGTCTTTTGTGATGCAACAATCTTTAGTGCTTTATGGAGATGTACCAATCCCAGTCATAGACCTTACGCTGGAAAACAGCTAAGCATTTTCCTTCTGAAGTTGTAACAACTTCAGTCACCTGGTTATCTATTGCATAACAAATTAACTTCTAACCTAGATTATTCTGGCGAAGAGATAAATTCACACTTTTGGTTCTTTGAGGCGTGTGAGAGGAAGGGAACTGCATTCTCTTACCTATATTCTCACTCCTTGAGTGAAATCGTGGTAGGAGTCAGTTTATAACGTGGTTCAGTTTTGGGGAGGACAGTCACGGAATGGAGAGCTTCTCATCTTTTTCTCTTTGCGTATGAGAAGGGGAAAATGTAGTGTTCTTACCTGGTTCTCCTCCAGTGTTTCAATCATCTCTTCGGAGGTGCGAATTAGAGCCACGCCAGTACGAGGATGTTTGTCGATCATGAACTCCATTGTGGCCCAGGTCGAGTCTAGTTCCTGAAAAAAAGGACAAAGTTTCCTGAAGAATACATACAGCTAACAATCACAACTATAAACAGACAAAACTACATGTGTAAATATAATTACGCATGCACACGCACAATTTAATCTAGCATGTTCTGTGCCTTGTGTTTTTGTTTTTACGTCAGACATCATATAAAGAGAAATATCACGCAGTGAACAGCATGCTGAACATATCACCAGAAGAACATATGCCTTCACTGAGATCCACAAATAACCCGCACACAGAAGAGACGACGTTTCGGCCCGACTTAGACCATTTACAAAGTGTATCGTTCCAGTCACGGTATTGTGTCTTTTTTTGTTATTCACTGAGATCTCTTGATCAAGAGACAAGATAACGTTATTGAATTGAAACTAACAACACTGCGAAACTGGATCATTAGGAAAAAAACTCAGAGAACTAGAGAAAGGTGTGTGACGGGCTGGATGAGAACTCTAAAATATTTGAGGAATTAAAATGAGCGGCAAAATCTAGGGGAGTTTGTCAAGGGTTACTGATGGTCCCTTATTGTTTCTAAAGAATGTTACACTCCTGATAAATCTTTATTAACGATAATGAATTAATAATGATTATAAGCAAGCATCTAACTAAATAGAGAAGATAAAAATTATGTTTCTTCTTTTTTCTGGTCACCTTGCCTTGGTGGAAGACAGCCGTTGTATTAAAAAAATATATAACAACAGAGGACAGAAGGCTGCAGAACGACCAACAGACTTTAACACTGGTTAAATAAACTGGTACTGGGGATAAACATCTGCGACGGAAAAGATATGGAAACAATTAAGAAAAAGGTGTCGAAAAATCGACACATTAAACTTTAACAAGCGAAATAAATTGAATAATGGTAAAATGTAAATATAATTGGTATAAGGGGAACAGAAACAGGTAGGATGAAGCTACCGAAAGTTGAAAAGAGGAATTAAGAATTAAAGTTCGGTCCCTTAATTCTTAAAATGGTGCTGACAGATGAATAATTAAAACATTCACACTAATTTTCTTACTTTAATGATTTTCTCCATTGACATTTCCTTGACTGCTTTATCCACGATGTTTTTGACTTCATCTTCGTACGTATGAAGGTTGAGCTGGAGTAGGTCAGCCAGGGTGGTCTTAGGGTTGTCCACGAAGTTTGCCTGGTGATGGAGTAAATAGAATTCATCTATGTCATTATCAACAACATGTCTTCCTTTTAAAATATATATTTCTAAGTCTCACTATTCCCTGATATATCGTAATTATTGTTGAAGATCTTAATAAGTGAATGAGAGCTATCATGAAAACTTTAAGTTCATTTCTCCCTGTTTCCCCACATACTCATCAGTTACATTCTTAACTACCTCCCATTTTACTTTTCTCTATCTCCCAAATCTCTCTATCGCTATCTCTCTACCTCTTTTCAAATATTTAAATTTTTCTCTCCATTCAATCCCATTTTCTCTTTAATTATCTTCAGTTCCCCCTCACCACAAAATTTTTGGCGGAGGAGTCACTCTTGGTGGCGACCAGCAACTGTCCCCAGTGTCTCTCCCTGAGGGACGGGTTCTGTAGCTCAGCCACGGCTCTCAGCGAAGTTAACATGTTCTTCACAGTGGAGTCCAGGTTGGTGTAAGCATCCCAGGCACGCATCTCCTTGTCCAACGCTGTAGCATATGATTAATTTATCACTGCTTAATAACTAAAAACAAGAAATACTGAATGAGATATACTATCTATAAAACAATATAACTATAATTTAGGACATAAAAATGGCTTCTTAGGTTCAAACTGTTTCCATTTCAGGAGGTTTGTTAAGTCTGCACTTCGACCGTCCACGACTAGGTGTACATGCATAGTGTATATACAACGAGAAAAGTACATTCCAAGGAATTTTTGACAAACATTATATCTCAGTCCCCAGGAGGATTCAAACCTGCACACTCTGTATCAATGTACACATCACTTTCCCCACTTAGTCTGATCCCTACTGTGTACTCTGATACAGAGTGTGCAGGTTCGAATCCTACTGTGGACTGAGAGATAATGTTTGTTAAAAATTTCGCCTGTTTATGAACAGTTGATGATTCCATGGTGTATGTATAATGTTGCTTTCACATCATACATATCAGTGAATATGAAACGCTCAGAATTTATTCAGTTTATCAGAGGTTGGTACACGAGGCTGTGTGTTACCTACCTACACACTACCACTCGACAATACGTAATCCCTAAAATAGGGATGAAAGTAAACTCTGAGTACACTGAGAAACAGACACCTCTAGCTGAATATATTTGTGTGTTTGCCATGAATAAAACTTTCAACTGGTAAATAATATAAACAACGAATAATATGCCCACTAAGAAACTTTCCTATATCCTTTCTAAATCTAAACTTATCTAATTTGACTACATTACTGCGGATTCTCTCTTGGAGGAATATCCTCAGGACCTATTTTTATCTCCTTTGTTAATACCCATCTTCCACTTATACACTTCAGTCATGTCTCCCCTCATTCTTCTTCTTACAAGAGAATGCAATATAAGGGATTTAAATCTTTCTTCAAATGGAAGATTTCTTATGCTATGTATTATTTTTGTCATTCTTCGCTGAATGTTTTCTAACGAATTTATATCCATTTTGTAATATAGAGACCAGAACTGAGCTTCATAATCTAAGTGAGCTCACGCCTTCCTAATGACGTTTTGCTAATATTTCTTGATATAAATCCCAGTAATCGGCTCGCCATATTATTTAAGCTTAGGTATTGCTGTCTTGTTCATAAATGGTAAACATTACTGACAAGATGAAGATGAAGATATCCAGATGTTGCACATGTATCTAATTCATCATCTTGTAGGTATTGTATACCATTCGTGAACAACCTGTCAGACACTGCAACATCATAGAATCTTGGTACAGAGGACATCTACACAACCTTCATGTTTCTACTGGCCATTCCTTGTGCATAACCTACGTTTACTGGGGATTCCCGCCGACCAGTGACAATGCCTTCGTCTGCTTCACATCCCTCACCTGTTGCCGGTATATAAGCGTCAACCTCCATGACCGTGCTTCAGTTCTTTCAAGACTACGGTGCTCTTAGCCAACTCCAAGGCCGAGGGACTGATTACTTCATCTTTTGAACATATTTCTTCACATTATATCCTTGTATTATACTGACAAAGCCACTGGTTGGCGGAACGTCTATAACTAAAGATACCAAGATTTTGCACATGTGCCTAATTCCTCGTCATTACTGTCTTGCTTCCAGGTTTCTGCTTACTATTTTCGTACTCTGTAAAGCTAAGTTCTACATTATTTGGTTTATAAGCGCTTGGGTTATGGACATTGCGAGCTTCAGAACTTTGTATTTATCTACAATGAAATGCATCTGCCACTTTTCTAACCACGAGCTGAGTTTGTCTGAATTCTCTTGAAGTTCAGTGATATCTACGTCCGAATCAATTATCCTACCTATCATCGTGTCATTAGCGAATTTCCTCATATCAGTAGTAATTCCCTCGCCTAGGTCGCTGATATATATTATAAACAACAATGAGCCTAAAACTTATCACTGTGAAACGCCACTTGTTACAGATCCCTACTCACATTTTACCCTATTTATGCACACTCTCTGTGTCCTGTTGGTGAGCCATGACTTGATCCATGACAGCACTTTTTCCCTAATACCATGAGCTGCCACTTTCTTTAACAGTCTCTGGTGCAGTACTCTATCAAAAGACTTACTAAAATCCAAATAAGCGATATTGACTTCTTTATTGTTATCAACAGCCTCAGAAGCTTTACTGAAGCAAGTCAGTAATTTAGTTAGGCAGGAACGGCCCCTCGTGAGTCCACACTGAATATCTTTCATGAATTTATGCTTATCAAGATGGCTTCTTATAATATCAGCTATAACTGACTCCAGTAATTTGCCTACAGTTGAGGTTAGGCTTACTGGGCGGTAATTTGACGGTAACGACTTATCCCCTGCTTTAAAAATAGGAATTACATTAGACATCAGACACTACACCTGATTGAAGAGATTTATTAGAAATGTTAGTTAATGGTTCACAAAGTTCCATTTTGCACTCCTTAACAACCCTTTAAAAAAGTTCATAATGGCCCTGGGATTTATTTTGCTTCAGTCGGTCTATCTGTTTGGTAATCATATCCGTAGTGACTGTGATATAACATATTGTTGGTGTTCTGTGTGAAAATCGAGAGGAAATAATTATTTAAAATGGATCACATTTCATTCTCCTTGTCAGCAAGATACTCTCACCTATATTTCAAAGGACCTATGTTTTCTCTAACTTTTGTTCTATATACTTGGAAAAACCTATCGGCTTAGTTTTCGAATCCCTAGCAAATTAAATTTCATAGTTCCGTTTAGCTTTTCTTATCTCCTTTTTTAACCTCTATTTTGATATGAATATACTGATTCATAAGATGTCTCCTCACCTTTTCTGATACATCTATACATTCCTAAAAGATGTTTGCTCATTTCTATTCGATCTTACTTCTTTATACATTTCTATTCGATCTTACTTCTTTATACATTTCTATTCGATCTTACTTCTTTATACATTTCTATTCGATCTTACTTCTTCATACATTTCTATTCGATCTTACTTCTTTATACATTTCTATTCGATCTTACTTCTTCATACATTTCTATTCGATCTTACTTCTTTATAAATGTTCTTTGGGCAGCATGTATAGTGTTTAGTAAACTGTCATATTGATAGCTCTCTTCGTTACCCCAAGGTGTTCTCGAAGCCCATTGTGGGCTTAGAGATTTGTGGCAACGTGCGCCAAAATCTTCTGTGCTTTCTAAATTATTTACAAGGGTTTTCTTTTTTGTCAGAACAAAGTCAAGCAGGTTATTTTCCCTTGTAGGTTCAATAACAAACTGCTTTAAAAATACCATCTTGAACTACCTTTAAGAAGACGTTAGACTTCTTCCAATCAATCTGACTAAAGTTAAAGTCCCCTAGAATTACTACGTTATCGTGCAGTTTCAGCCATAATGTCAGTAAATTCCATAAAAAAAGGTTGAAGTTGGTGATCTTTTTCATGTTAATTTGTGTTGGGAAAAAAATCAATAAAAACAAAGTTGTAAACAATATCGGAAATCCTCGCTGGTTGTTTGTAGAACCATCATTCCTCATTAAGGTGTTTGTAGAACCATCATTCCTCATTAAGGTGTTTGTAGAACCATCATTCTCCAAATTAAAGTGTTTGTAGAACCATCATTCCTCATTAAGGTGTTTGTAGAACCATCATTCCTCATTAAGGTGTTTTGTAGAACCATCATTCCTCATTAAGGTGTTTGTAGAACCATCATTCCTCATTAAGGTGTTTGTAGAACCATCATTCCTCATTAAGGTGTTTGTAGAACCATCATTCCTCATTAAGGTGTTTGTAGAACCATCATTCCTCATTAAGGTGTTTGTAGAACCATCATTCCTCATTAAGGTGTTTGTAGAACCATCATTCCTCATTAAGGGGGTTTGTAGAACCATCATTCCTCATAAGGTGTTTGTAAGAACCATCATTCCTCATTAAGGTGTTTGTAGAACCATCATTCCTCATTAAGGTCTTTGTAGAACCACCATTCCTCATTAAGGTGTTTGTAAAACCCATCATTCCTCATTAAGGTGTTTGTAGAACCATCATTCCTCATTAAGGTGTTTGTAGAACCATCATTCCTCATTAAGGTGTTTGTAGAACCATCATTCCTCATTAAGATGTTTGTAGAACCATCATTCCTCATTAAGGTGTTTGTAGAACCATCCTTCCTCATTAAGATGTTTGTAGAACCATCCTTCCTCATTACGGTGTTTGTAGAACCATCCTTCCTCATTAAGGTGTTTGTAGAACCATCATTCCTCATTAAGGTGTTTGTAGAACCATCATTCCTCATTAAGGTGTTTGTAGAACCATCATTCCTCATTAAGGTGTTTGTAGAACCATCATTCCTCATTAAGGTGTTTGTAGAACCATCATTCCTCATTAAGGTGTTTGTAGAACCATCATTCCTCATTAAGGTGTTTGTAGAACCATCATTCCTCATTAAGGTGTTGTAGAACCATCATTCCTCATTAAGGTGTTTGTAGAACCATCATTCCTCATTAAGGTGTTTGTAGAACCATCATTCCTCATTAAGGTGTTTGTAGAACCATCATTCCTCATTAGGTGTTTGTAGAACCATCATTCCTCATTAAGGTGTTTGTAGAACCATCATCCCTCATTAAGGTGTTTGTAGAACCATCATTCCTCATTACGGTGTTTGTAGAACCATCATTCCTCATGAAGGTGTTTGTAGAACCATCATTCCTCATTAAGGTGTTTGTAGAACCATCATTCCTCATTAAGATGTTTGTAGAACCATCATTCCTATTACGGTGTTTGTAGAACCATCATTCCTCATGAAGGTGTTTGTAGAACCATCTTTCCCTCATTAAGGTGTTTGTAGAACCATCATCCTCATGAAGGTGTTTGTAGAACCATCATTCCTCATTAAGGTGTTTGTAGAACCATCATTCCTCATTAAGGTGTTTGTAGAACCATCATTCCTCATTAAAGTGTTTGTAGAACCATCATTCCTCATTAAGGTGTTTGTAGAACCATCATTCCTCATGAAGGTGTTTGTAGAAC